ATTTTTTCTTTTTCTCTACTATTACAGTGTTATGGACCCAATGCATTTACTCCTAAATCATTATGGCGGGCGCAGGTGTTGATTTGTAAGGTCAACGTGTGCAGTAGGTCCATCTCGAATTTGCCAATGAATTCGGCAGAATTCGGTTCGGTGAATGAATGATTGGACGATGCCACGTAATCCTTGAGATGATTGTGTCCGGTTTGATTATATAGCAAATAGCCACTCACTCAGCGGAGAATGATTATTCGCAAAGACTTGTCGAGTCGCTGAGAATGACTCGTTGCGGTGTGTTTGAATATTGATCAGCTACTGATTCGCGATTTCTTTCCAGCGATGTTTTCGCTCCTGAAATTCTTCAATGACTAACGATCTTTCAAAGCGAAAAAGCGATCACCAACCACCAAAGGAGAAGCGTCCTCCTGATTGGCAGGGGTGGGGCCCTTGGTCCACGAATCAGGCAGTCTCAAAGAAGGGAGGAACGTCCTCCCTTCGACAAGGCCGCTGGTGGAAGAATCCTTTCCCGCAGAATGAAGTGCTTGGGGGTAAATTGGTGACCCTTCTTGAGAGGTAACCGACGAGGTCACCATGACTTTATTGCTCCGAAAGTTGTAAACAGCGTACATGGTCTGGTTCGTTCTTTTACAAGCATATTATCAGTCAAATCCTAAGCGCTGTTGCCTGCATTTCTAAAATTAGGCCGCTAAAGAAAGCCTCGTATCTGGAGACCCGAGGAAAATAAAAACATTAAATTTAAATATATTAAATAACATATATTAATGAATAATATATATTAAATAAAGCACATTTGGGTATAATTTCATTTATAATTCATTATGTATGAAATAATCAAAAATAATGTAATTAATTTGATATATTTGTAAACTAGCATATTACTCGTTTATTAATGAAACTATTACAGACCAGGAGCGTCGACACAATTGTTTCAAATAAATATATAGAGCCATAATTCTGCAAGTTCCTCGGTGTTCGAATATTAAATCGAGTAACTGTATAGATTGTCGTATACCGGAAATAATGTACTTCATAGTTCTAACCATGTACATAATGGTTATGTGCTATAAGAATCTATTAGGGGAGATACGATTTTGTGTTACTTGGCTACGTTACTTTAATATTGAATTTTTTCTACATTTATTTGGTGTATTTAATATAATGTTATCTGTTTCTTATAGATCGATTGAATGCCTTTTAATGGAAACATGGAAGATGTTAAAATAATAACATGACTACAATATTAAAATTAAGTTTCAAATTATGATATTCCATGATATGTTGTACAATCATAGGTCGCATACCTTGGATTCATTGGTTTTCAATAATACCCGAGGTAATAGGCTCGTTTATTTATAAATAAAAATTTATCAATTAAGCTTAAAAATACTAATAGAATAATTTTCTCACCGTTAATATCGTAGTATGTTAATATTCTAATTTATAATTTATAATTACCGTAGGACATTATTAATATATATAATTTTTTAACATGTCGCTTGTCTAATATTACATACCTATCGGTCATACATACATGTACGTATATTAATCAGGTGTTTCTTACGGTGAAAAATTATTTAAAGAATTACATCAAGTATCATTTAATATCGTAAAAAATAATATGACAAAATATTGAAATTATTTCTTATTCGTAAATAAAATTTCTTTTTTGTAGAAATAAACTATCATAACGTTATCCAAAACTGATTTCTGCTGAAATAATGCTTAAATAAAAACTAGTTAATAATAGTCTAACTAAGATACGCTATTTAAACAATAACTTTTTAAAATAAATTTCATTTCTTTGTTTAACAGAGACTTATTTTATAATAATAATTTTATAGGAACGCATCCGTAGTTGCAAAGAAGAATATTTTTCAACTCTTAGCGACATCGTGGGTTCCGAGTCAATGGGGGTCTATTTTGTGTCTTTACGACCAGCCCCCCATTATTTGCGGACACGCGGACCATGACGCGAAGGCCAGACCTGAAAAGCATAGTTCGTTGGCGACCCGAGAGCGATTTGGACCATTTCCTAAGAGGTATACCGTTTTCTCGACACCAGCCTCCCTTGTGCATAATAAACTTTGACGAAATCCGACATAGTGTTGGATGACTAACGACTCGTTGGCCCTTAGTCACTAGAAGGACCTGGCTGATAAACGCACACCTATTTCAGAGTCCAAAAACAATCGACTCATTCCCACTTTCACTAAGGGCCAATGGTCATCTTCACTCCCCAAAAACTAACATTATATAAGCGGCCACAAAATTTGCAAAAGTTCAGTTGCAGTACAGATTCAGCAGTTTTCAGCACAGTTTTCAGTACAGTTCCAGTTTAGTTCAATCCAGTCAGTTGCAATTTCAATTTCTGTTTTGTTTTTTTCCTCTCCGCCGACTTGTATTTCTCCAACGTAGCCTTGTTGCTAGAACCCGTGTTGTATATTGAAATCCGGGTTCCAACAATAGTGTTTTTCTCTTATGTAATCCCTCACGAAATCCCTTCAATTTATTTTATATCATTTTTGCCCCCCCCCCCCTCCCTATTTCTCTTTATCTATTTTCAATAAAGTTCTAGTCCTTGATGAACATCCTTTATTTTGTAACGTATTTTTTAATGTCCAAACGCTGTGTAATTCAGTCTAACAAAAAAGTCTCATTTTTTACATTTTTCTTCAATTTCCATCTTTTATTATATTTGTAGTTCTTAAAGAATAATTCCAAATAACGATTAGTGATTGCAAATCTAGAATGGTATAACGAAGTATATTACATGAAAATCCATTTTGAGAGACATAAAGTATCTCTATAGCGTCATCTGCTTGCACTTAAAAGTAGAAACGTATTTTTAATACGAAATTCTGCCAGTATCATTGCAAATTAATTTATCTTATATTAGCATCTACGATCCATAATGGATTCCGCAATTGTTCTTACTGATATTAATTACTCAATATTGATCGTTGCACGGACTTACTAGAGAGAGTTTGTTTTTATCCACCTATAAGATTTTTGTTAAGGATCATTGCAAAGAAATTCCATATTCTATCTTTCTTTCTGTAGATATTCTCGTTGGTAAAAACTCGAATGCCG